AAAGGGGCCTTGTTTTGCGCAACAGCCAAGTCATGGTGCCTGCCCATGTTTCCTTTTGCCAAAGTCTAGAGAAGATTTCACAGGCCATTGATGTGGGCCCCTGGCTTTTTTTGGAGGTTTCTGCGGGAAAGTCATACAGACAACGTGTATGTGATTGTATGATGGGAAATTAGAGGCCGACACCAATGGCCTGTGCCATTTTCTCGCGTTTGTTTGCCCTCGCGGAGTTTTGGTGAGTTGGCCACCAGACGTTTCGTGAGTTGCGGTCCAGCATCCTGGGCGCTGATCTGACTGATTGACTGATTTGCTTAGGGCAGCTTTGGTGGGAAGATTAAAAAGAGGCTCGCAGCCCGCGGGCCGCATGTGCGTCAATCGATTTGTTGGGCCTGTACAGTAGGTAAGCAAGTCAGCCACCCCTCGAACTCCAAAAGGAACATGGCTGGTGGCCTCTACTGGGAAAAGGCAGCCTAGTGAAAGGAGGCGTTTTGTTGGAATTTGTTCTGCGTGTTTGTGTGTGTGTGTGTGGGGTTTGTGTGTGTGTGTGTGTGTGATGTGTGATGTGTGATGCGTGTGTGTGTGTGTGTGTGTGTGTGTGTATATATATATTTATATTTAGTTTTGTTCAACGGTAGCCATGTTCAACGGCAGCCAACGAGAAGTCCACCCACTTTGTTTTGTTGCTTAATCTGGGGACCCAATTAACTCTATTGAATAACCATGCTCTGATTTCATATAGAGACACATGACGAATTGATTTAAGCAGTGCGGGTCAAAGAGCATATTGTTCACTAGGTGGTTGGCCCGACCCTGCTGCGCCCACGTTTGGTGCTCTCAGGTCGTTGGAGGATTCGCTGCGCGAGCCTGCCACTTCGCCTTTTGCGGTGGCAAAGCATTCGGGCGGATGCGGAGCGCACGGAAAAGTTCAGTCTGCACGTCTTTGAAGGCAGCCAGGTTATGCACACTGTGGATGGACGAAATCATGCACCACCTAAGAAACTCAGGAACCCTGTAAATACCAACAAACAATGGTTTCCCCTAGTTTCCAAGTGGTGCAGGATTTCGTCCATCCACAGTAGCATGACAAGATTGTGGGCTTAAGCTATCAACAACTTCCAGCATCGTGCCCAATGCCGCGTTTGCTGATGCTGGATTTGGTCGCATGGGAGCAACTCAATACGGCTCAAAGGGGCTGGTCAGCCCCGGGCGAACTGTTGTACGTCACTTTAAGGGCATGCTTTTCTTAAGGATTTCGCTTTTTGGGCTGTTCCCAAGAGGAATCTACGAGTTTTGTTTTGTGGGATTCCCAGTTTAACTCGGTCCCATACCATTGCCACACCTGATTGGCTCAAATCGAGAATTCAAACGGCTGATAAGAAGTGACAGCAAGAAGCACAGGACGCACAGATCCGCACAGATCGGGACTCTGCAAGTGTCCTATTCCTAAAAGGGCCTTTGGATGGGCTCTGTTTGGCTCCACGTGCGAGAGGCCTGCCTCTTCAAAAGCAACCAGCAACAACCCCCAAGTGTTCAAGAAGCAACAGCCTCCCACAATTGCTTTCTGTTGCAAGGCAGCCACATGGCTCGGGGAACGACCGTCAGAACCCATAAAAAACGGTATAAAAATAGAGGAACACCTCCACCGTCACACCCTTTGTTCCCAGCCGCAGGTGTTCCGGAACCGAAGGCCGCGGGCCGCGCGATGGGAAGTCAGAGCTCCGGCCGCGCCTGGCGCGCGCGAGGCGCGCGAGGCGCGCGAGGCGCGGAGCTCAGCGGCGGTTCCGTGGTTCGGTCGCATTGGGAGGCAGGCTTAGCGTGTGGCTTGCTTCCGAGGCGCCGGATGCCAAAAGAAAGCTGTTTTTGCAAGAAGGGGTTGTGCACTTCCACCAGGTATCTTGCTGGGAGGGAAAAGGTGGGGGGCAAAGTTGAGTTCCTATATTTCAGGACTGTTGGCTCAGTCAGTTGATTGCAAGTGAAGTGGTACACGCAAAAACCAGTGATTCGACTTACAAGAATGAGCTTGTCAGAGTGCAAGCGAACCAAGCACACCCAACACAAATGTAAATCGGGGTCATTTACAGGGTCAGCATCATCCACATGGGCGGTGTGCGCTTCATGCCTCAAGAGCAGCGCTCTAAGAATTCTGTGCGCGTTCTGCGCGAATTCTTGAACTAGCTTGGTTGCCATTCGTTCAACATGTCAAGCTTTGCTTTGTGGCTTTCTGAGCGCTGGCGGGAGCCAACACATACTTTTGTAGGTGCCCCTAAAAGCAAGCAGACATTCCTTAAAATTGAATTTCCACCAAACCAACAGTTCAAGCTTTCAAGCCATAGTTTTGAACCTCTAGAGTGCCTTGGATTCACCTGTGACGTTTGGTTGGTCCGCTGGGATGCTTTGCTGGCTTTCAGGGCGACATGAGCCACGTTGGGAAGTGTGCAAGCACGCAGCCAGCTATCTTATCGCAAGTCGTGACATCAAGCAATCTGACCGATTTTCAAGATCCCCTGCAGCAGCCTCCATCAAGGTGTGCCATGCCATGGCCGCGGTGACTCGCTGGCAGCTGTGGACATGCGCGATATTTGCTATCATCGGAGTGATGGCAATCATGCCTTCAGAAGGTCTTTCCAAATTTGTTGGTCTCGTATATGCGGAAAGCAAGCTTGCTCACGGCGATGTGGGCTTAAGCACATCTACCACTGCCACTGCTTCCACTACCGCCGCAACTAACACTATGACTACTTCCAGCAGAACCATTACATCCACTGCCACTTCTGCCGCTACCACCGCAACCACAACCATCACTATTATCACCACTCACACTACAACCATCACCTCCGCCACTGCTGCCACTACTAGCTTGCAAGCAGCCCATGTGTCATCAACTTTGGGTACCACAACAACAAAGCAGTCCATCCGCTATCCCAGCTGGTTTCAACCCTCAGCATGCAATGCTGCCGAGGGCATGCTTGTTGCCACTGGTAACGCCACTGGCAACGCCACTGGTAACGCAGACAATCCAGACAATCGGTCTGGCACGCTGCCCTATTATTGGAACAAACACATTCTTATGATCGGGGATTCGCGAATGCGCTACCAGTATTTGTCACTGGCGTATTTCTTTACCCATGACAAGTTTGGCGATGTCGCCGAAGTGCCCTGGCTGTGCAACGAGAAGTTAATGGGGAGTGGGACAGGCAGCAAGTGGAATCGCTTCTTCTCGCAGACGAGCCAGATTGTAGAGCACGAGCTTTGCAATTGCCATCGGGGCGATACATTCAATCCTAAACTCGCGCTCGAGGGACGATACTACCGCAACCCTTCAAAGAACTTGGCCATCACTTATTATCCGCGGTATGCCGACGGAGCTCCTATTCAGGGGCACTGGTTGACCAACGGTACCAATGTGGCCGCCTGCAGCTTTCAGTGTCACCCAAATCGATGTAGCCTTTCCACGGTCCCGGCCACTTGGCAGGCGTGGACTTCCGCGCAGCTCGCCGAGCACATCGCAGGTCTGCGGCCTGACTATGTCGTTTTCAGCCCCGGCTGGGAGGAGTTCGCTGCCAAATGGACAGCTGCTGACTTGGTCCAGCTTTCTCAGCAGATTGCAAATCATTCATGTCCAGCCAGGTTGTTCTACAAATCGCGCAGTCGCAGACAGCAGGACAATCCTAAGGCCTGGCTTGCAAATCAGAACGCTCGCACCAAGGAGCTGATGGAAACGCCCGGTTTTGCGAAGCAATGGAACATCTTTGATGTCTCTAACATTACCGCTGAGTGGGCGACGGCCAAGCAAATGATGTGGGATGAATATCACTACACCTTGCCCGCCAACAATGTATTGAATCGGATGCTAATTCACAGCTTGTTCGGCCTCCAAGTTTAGCTTTGTCTTAGCCGCGAGGCTTGATGCATGAAAGAAAAATAGGATTAGACTGGTGTGTGGGAGAAAGGAACTGATCATAATGCTGTCTCTCTTCCCAGCTTTATAAGTGTCTCCTGGCATTTAGAAAAGAGAAAACAGGGTCAGAAGCAACTAGAGAGTTCCACCCCTCAGTTGTAGGATATGACTGAGAGATGCTAGTGCCACGGCCAAAAGCACACCTTTGCTGGATGGTAGGGAGGTCATGCACCCCTCAACAAGTAATGAAGATGACTGTTGTAAGGTTCCATTCTGGGAATGACTGTCAAGGCCGGAAAGGATTTCGTGCAATGGCACATAGCCTATGTCAATGGGTCGTTCCGACAGCTCGAGTGCATCCGCGAACTGCGAACGAGGATGAAGCCGGACAAAGGCTGGGACTTCAGGTTCTGGAGTCGCTGCCTGTGAAGTCGCGTCTGAATCCCGGGAGATAGTTCACAACATATCTCTGAGCAGTGAGTTTTACTCAAGAAACTGGTGACAATTCATCCACATGTAAGGGATGTCGCCCAACAAGTTTCCGTCGAATCACCCGATTCGGTCCATGCATGTGGCTCTTCGCGGATGGGCCGCCGGTTTTTGGGGAGTCGGGAGGCCGCGTGCGGTATCAGCCAGAGCCGCTGGAGGCGGTGGAGGAGATCGAGGAGAAAGCTGACGAATTTGTGACGCATTTGCAAGCACGTAGCGTACAAACACGCATGCCGACTTATATAATGTGCATATTATAAATATATGCTGGTGCATTTTGCTGGGATGTTAGCACTTTAACTTTTTGCCAACTAATGGGTTTTCAATCAAACCACTAAAAGTTAGACTTTTAGCAGGGGAGCAGTATATATGTATATGTGATGTGAACAATGTGGCCACACGGTGTTTGTTCACACTGGTCAGTCGGAAATGGGGAGGGGAAGTTACTCGATTTGCAAAGGCGTTGAACGGGTTTTGTGCCCAACACGTCCAACTGAACTACGTGAGCATGAGTCAACATAGATCATTAGATGGGGAAGTGCTACTTATCGAGATAAGACGCTGAGCATACACTTCTATTGGAATATATATATATATATACACATATTCACATGGCGTATTATTGCTAGGTGGTCCGCTTTTCCAGGAAAGCCTTGACGTCCAACCCCAATAAACTCAAGGTGACATAAGCTTCGTGGGTGCAGCACCGCGCCACTAAGAAGTGTGGCTGGCGTTCCGCCCCTTTTGGCCAATTTGATGCTTTTGGGCAGACGGCGTAAACCCAGGTGTTGATCATCCCCTTTTATCTCAGACTAAGTGACTTGAGGTCTAGTTGAGGGGCTGGCTCAAACTTGTCGCGAGAAAGGCGTTGCTGAAGCGACCTGTTCCCACTGTTTTTTTTTCTTCTTCTTTTTCTCAGCTTGCCAGTCAGTATTTAATATGTCCCCTCCAAATATCCGGCTAGCGCGGCTTCCGGTAAGTTTTGTGAATGGCCTCCTTGCTGGGGTCTCCTCCAAACAATATTTTTGAATTTTGGGCCAGATGAAATATCGAACAGAGTCTAATGCTTGTGTTTGTGTACCACAGCTGTGGGCCAAGCTTGGTTGGCAAGGGCTGGAGGGAGTCTTGGGGTGCCGGGGTGACAGGACCAGGATGGTTGCACCTCGGACGCTGTGGCCGATTTTGCGGTCAACAAGGATGGATTGCTTCGTGGGATCGATGGGCGCGGTTTCGGCGCTGTTTCTCCAACAAATTCTCCACAAACTGGCCGTTTGAGCAGGTTTGCAGGTGTTACTACCTGTTTCATGGAGGCTATAGCGTTAACTTCTGATTAATCCGCAGGAACATACTATCAGGGATGGGAACACCATTTGGGAAGTTGTCATTGAGGCTCATATAAACCCAACCATTCTGGTGGCAGCAGAAAGGGGTTTGGGCGCTGTTCACGTGTGCTGGGCCTTTACTTTGACTGCACAGGGCCTTCTGGCTGTTCAAAGTCAATTGCCTTGGCTTGCGGAGTCCCCCTTGTAGTAGTCAAGTTGGGATGGTGGTGGACTACTTTAAGGGGCAGGGTACTTAGCAAGCGATTGGCAACCTCGGTCATAAGCGCTTAGCGTGGTTATAAGTCCCCTAAGTGGGTTGTAACCATGGTTATCACCCGCTTCCTAAGTAGAACGCTCCTTCAAGCAGGATTTGGCGGGCGCTGTTGATGTTGGTCTGGCGTGTAACCCAGCTCTTCAGAGTATTCCAAGTCCCTTTGAAAGTTCTCTTTGATTCTTTTTGGGATGTGCAACACGGGCACCTAGGTCCTAAAATGGGGACTGAGCCAGTTTCAAGGTATGGATTAAGTTGCCCGTGGATATGGGAAAATGAGCGAGTCCCTCTGCTTGGGGAAACTCGGAAATGTCACTCCCACAATGACCACAGACTGGAGCCCACCAGGTTCTTCCCGAGGGGGGCAGATGGTTGGGAGGCGCTTGGGAGGCAGAAGGACGAAAGCCGAGCAAAAGATCAGACAGTTGGCAGTTCTGTTGCGTCTTCCCAGCAGGTCCTTAGTATTTCCTCTTGGTTTGGTTTCAAGTGGATCAGCCAAAGGCTCCTGAATCAGGGAGGATTACACAGTCCGTGCAAACTTTAGCGCCTCATGATGCAGGTTCCTTTCTTGGGTCGTTGCGATTCACCTGGATGTACTATTTGGCCATGTGCCTTGCAAGAGACACAAGTAGAGACCATATCCCAACCCCCCCCCCCGTAAGAGGGAAGAATTGGGCCTATGTGTCGCCCAAGGCCCTGAATAATAGTTTCCCGGGTTCTCCCTGGGCCAGTTCCAGGATATTAAAATAAATAAATAAATAAATAAATAAATCAAAAAAGAACAATGATTTTTTTTTTAAAAATTTCTGGAGGCCTCCATTTTTTTGATGTTTTCTAAATAAAATAAAAATAGATAGTTTCCTGGGTTCTCCCTAGGCCAGTTCCAGGATATTTAAAAAATGTTTAAAAAATCAAATATATATTTTTTTTTTTTTTTTTTTAAAAAAAAAACCTCAAATAATTTAAATAGTTGTTTTTTTTTTTAAAAAAAAATCTGAAGGCCTCCAAAAATTTAAAAAATAAATAAATAAAAATCAATTAATTTAAAGAACAAATCAAATAATTTAATTATTTATATTCTTAAAAAAAAAAAATCTGAAGGCCTCCAAAAATGTAAACAATAAATACATAAAACTCAATTAATTTAAAGAAAAAAACAAATAATTTAATTATTTATATTCCTTTTTTTTAATTTCTGGAGGCCTGCAAAAATTTAAAAAAAAATAGAAAATATAAATAGTTTCGTGGGTTCTCCCTGGGCTAGTTCCAGGATATTTAAAAAAAAAATCAAATAATTTAAAATATTCAAATAATTTAAATATTTATATTTTTTAAATTTTTGGAATTTCTGGAGGCCTTCAAAAATTTAAAAATAAAATAAAAAATATAAATAGTTTCCTGGGTTCTCCCTGGGCCAGTTCCAGGATATTTAAAAAACATAAAAAAATAAAGAATTCAAATAATTAAAAAAAAACAATTCAACTAATTCAAATATTTATATTTTTTAAATTATTTAAATTTTTGGAGGCCTCCAGAAATTTAAAAAAAAAATAAAAAAATATAAATAGTTTCCTGGGCTCTCCCTGGGCTAGTTCCAGGATATTTGAAAAATTTAAAAAAATCAATTAATTTAAAACAATCAAATAATTTAAGTATTTATATTTTTTTAAATTTTTTAAATTTCTGGAGGCCTTCAAAAATTTAAAAATAAAATAAAAATATAAATAGTTTCCTGGGTTCTCCCTGGGCCAGTTCCAGGATATTTAAAAAACATAAAAAAAAATAAAGAATTCAAATAATTAAAAAAAACAATTCAACTAATTCAAATATTTATATTTTGTAAATTATTTAAATTTTTGGAGGCCTCCAGAAATTTAAAAAATAAAATAAAAAATATAAATAGTTTCCTGGGCTCTCCCTGGGCTAGTTCCAGGATATTTGAAAAATTTAAAAAATTCAATTAATTTAAAAAATTCAATTAATTTAAATATTTATATTTTTTTAAATTTTTTAAATTTCTGGAGGCCTCCAAAAATTTAAATAATTTAAAAAATATAAATAGTTTCCTGGGTTCTCCCTGGGCCAGTTCCAGGATATTTAAAAAAAAAAAAAAAAATCAAATAATTTAAAAAGAATCAACTAATTTAAATATTTTTTTTTTATTTTTTTTAAAATTTCTGGAGGCCTCCAAAAATTTAAATAATTTAAAAAATATAAATAGTTTCCTGGGTTCTCCCTGGGCCAGTTCCAGGATATTTGTAAAATTTAAAAAAATCAAATAATTTAAAAAAATCAAATATTTTAAATATTTAAATTTTTAAATTTTTTAAATTTCTGGAGGCCTCCAAAAATTCAATAAAAAAAATAAAAAATATAAATAGTTTCCTGGGTTCCCCCTGGGCCAGTTCCAGGATATTTAAAAAAAAAAAATCAATTAATTTAAATAATTCAACTAATTCAAATGTTTATATTTTTTAAATTATTTAAATTTTTGGAGGCCTCCAAAAATTTAAAAAAAAAAATAAAAATATAAATAGTTTCCTGGGCTCTCCCTGGGCTAGTTCCAGGATATTTGAAAAAATTAAAAAATTCAATTAATTTAAGAAAAATCTCATAATTTAAATATTTATATTTTTTATTTTTTTTTTAATTTCTGGAGGCCTCCAAAAATTTAAATAATTTAAAAAATCTAAATATTTGAATTATTTGTTTTTTTTTCTTCTTTTTTTAAATTTTTGGAGGCCTCCAGAAATTTAAAAAAAAAATAAAAAAAATATATAAAACAATTATTTAAATTAATTGATTTTTTTAAATTATTTGAATTTTTCTTTTTTTTTTTAAATATCCTGGAACTGGCCCAGGGAGAGCCCAGGAAACTATTTATATTTTTATTTTTTTTTAAAATTTTTGGAGGCCTCCAGAAATATAGAAAATTGCAAAAATATAAATATTTAAATTATTTAAATTATTTGAATGTTTGAAATTTTTTAAATTTCTGGAGGCCTCCAAAAGTTAAAATAATGTAAAAAATATAAATAATTGAATTATTTGATTTTTTTCACTTTTTTTTTTTATTTTTTTTTTTAAAATTTTTGGAGGCCTCCAGAAATTTAAAAAATCTAAAAAAAATATAAATATTTAAATTATTTGAATTGTTTAAATTATTTGATTTTTTTTTAAATTTTTTAAATATCCTGGAACTGGCCCAGGGAGAACCCAGGAAACTATTTATATTTTTTAAATTATTTAAATTTTTGGAGGCCTCCAGAAATTTAAAAAAAATGAAAAATACAAATATTTAAATTATTTGATTTTTTTTAAATTATTTGAATTTTTTAAATTTTTCAAATATCCTGGAACTAGCCCAGGGAGAGCCCAGGAAACTATTTATATTTTTTAAATTTTTTAAATTTTTGGAGGCCTCCAAAAGTTTAAATAATTTAAAAAATATAAATATTTGAATTAGTTGAATTGTTTTTTTAAAATTGTTTGAATTCTTTATTTTTTCATTTTTTTTAAACATCCTGGAACTGGCCCAGGGAGAACCCAGGAAACTATTTATATTTTTTAAATTTTTTAAATTTTTGGAGGCCTCCAGAAATTTAAAAAATATAAAACAAATAAATATTTAAATTAATTGAATTTTTTAAATTATTTGATTTTTTTTTTTTATTTTTTTCAAATATCCTGGAACTAGCCCAGGGAGAGCCCAGGAAACTATCTATATTTTTTATTTTTTTGTGAATTTTTGGAGGCCTCCAGAAATTTTTAAAAAAATATAAATATTTAAATTATTTGAATTGTTTAAATTAATTGATTTTTTTTTATTATTTTTTTTTAAATATCCTGGAACTGGCCCAGGGAGAGCCCAGGAAACTATTTATATTTTTTATTTTTTTTTGAATTTTTGGAGGCCTCCAGAAATTTAAAAAAAATAAAAAAAATATAAGTATTTAAATTATTTGTTTTTTTTTCAATTTTTTAAATATCCTGGAACTGGCCCAGGGAGAACCCAGGAAACTATTTATATTTTTTATTTTTTTTTAAATTTTTGGAGGCCTCCAGAAATTTAAAAAACATATAAAAATCGATTTTTTTAAATTATTTGACTTTTTTTTTATTTATTTTTTTAAATATCCTGGAACTGGCCCAGGGAGAACCCAGGAAACTATTTATATTTTTTTGATTTTTTTAAATTTTTGGAGGCCTCCAGAGATTAAAAAAAAATGAAAAAAATATTTAAATTAGTTGATTTTTTTTTAAATTATTTTAATTTTTTAAATTTTTTAAATATCCTGGAACTGGCCCAGGGAGAACCCAGGAAACTATTTATATTTTTTATTTTATTATTTTTTTAAGTATCCTGGAACTGGCCCAGAGAGAACCCGGGAAACTTTTTTTTGGAGGCCTCCAGATTGTTTTTTTTAATTGAATTATTTAAATTATTTGATTTTTTTAATTTTTTCAAATATCCTGGAACTGGCCCAGAGAGAACCCGGGAAACTATTTATATTTTTTAAAATTGTTTGGAGGCCTCCAGATATTTCAATAGAATTAAACAATATATATATTTAAATTATTTGAATTTCTTTTTCTTTTTTTT